CGGTGTGACTACTTCACTAGTATGACCGGTGACAGGTATACCCAGTTTGATAAAACTAGTCAAACTCGTCACACCCTTGAAGTGTGACTAGTGTGACGAGTATGACCACTATGGTAGAAACCAGTGTGACCAGTGTGACGGTGTGACGACTTCACTGGTATGACCATTGACGGGTGTACCTAGTTTAATATGACTAGTCAAACGTGTTACACCCTTCAAGTACGACCAGTGTGACGAGTATGACCATTACGATACTGATAGAGACAAAACTCTCATATGACTTGATTTCAAACCGAAAACCTAATTTTCCTTAACTGTAAAACTCGAATACTATAACTCATTCGACTAAGATCTTGTCTACCGTAAATATTTGTCCAAGTACACATATATCAAATTTAAAAAAAACAATTAACTTTTTCGGTGATATATAATGAAAACTTTACTTGAAAATCTTCGCAAATAGAAGCCGAAAACGATGAAGACGAAGCCATTTTGAAGTGAAGAGAAAAAATCGCACAAGAAATCGCCAATAAAATTGGCTGGAGAATGTCCGTTAGAGAAAAATCGTGAAGAAGAGAGGAAGAAGAAGGTGAACAGTTTTTTTTAACTTAATAATTTTTTATTTGACAACTACCCACTTTCTCTCTCTTTTGTCTATCTTCCTTCAGATTATTACACGTGTAATTTTTTAGAAGGGTAGGATTGTCTTTTTAACGTTTTTCAATTTTTTTTTAAAACCCTAACTGTTCAAGGGTATGTCTTGAAGTCCATGTTACGTTTTAAAGGTATATTTGTAATATCCCCGTGTATTTGCCATAAATATTACATTTCTTTTTGTCTTTTTATGGTGAGGGTGTCTATTTACAAACGTAATGCTTACCTATTAACACAGAACATGTGGGTCCATTTGATTTTGTATGGTTATCATATGGATGGTCCAATCGTTTTGAGCCACTCATCGTCACCCAAATCAATATATATAGTTATATAAATCCGCAAGTGTCATTTTTGGTATGGATACTAGTTTACATGCTATCTTTTTGTTTTATAATTCGAAATTTTATTACACATTCAATCTAGCTAAATTTTCCAAAAGATTAGAGAAATATATATGAATGGACCCTCATCAAATTAAAACTCAAATCTGAATCGGAGGAGTTTTGCTCCATACTTTATCAATTGAACCAATCAAATTTGGATTATATCATTATATACAAAACATCTCTCATCAATCCCGACACTATAAAAGAAATTAAAAGATGGATTACTAGAATTTTGACCGTAAGATAAAATTCATCCGCACATCTAAGAACGGACGGTCATGAACCCAAATGGCTACCACGCATATTCCTTTCATGTATATATGATCCCGCTATGGCTATATTTTTTTTTGTATTTTATTTTATTTTAATGTCCTTGTTATATCATAACAAAGCAACTAAAAACTTTAACACGTATGAGGTATTATCCTCTGTGATCGTGTTCGAGTGTGAACCCTCTTGGTTTTTCTTTTGGACTAATCGGATATATTTGTCCATATGATGCTTACGCTAGATGCATGCATCGTCCGAAAGAGAAGTAAAGGAGACCAATCCACATATTTATTCAAATTTTCTTTGACTTTTTTGTTATACCCCTCTCGCGATATTTCAGATATAATAATCTTCCGCATGTTACCTGAAAAGTATGTAAACAATCGCTCCCATTCTATATATATATACATACAATTTCAACACGAAGGACGTACGGTGTGCTCAGAGAGAGAGAGAGAGAGAGAGAGAGAGAGAGAGAGAGAGAGAGAGAGAGAGAGAGATGATCCTAGTGGAGGACTGTGACACCGAAACGATGTCGTTCAGCGATGAGAGCTACGATTCTTCTTCTCCGGTTTCCACTCGTCAAGACGGGTCGGATCATACAGGGTCGCCCGGTTCCGACGGATCCCCGAAATGGAGCCTAGAGCCGGTAAGTGTGTTTGTGCGTATATGGTCTCAGCCTCGATAACGTTTTAAGTTTACATACAGGAAGCGATAATAAGGCCGAACTTATATATATATATATATATATCGCTTACTCACGTGTATTCCTTACAAAAAGTGTTGGGAAACAAATGATTATCCGCTATTTTCTAAGGTTCATTTTTTTTAATAATGTTCCTAGGATGATATTTATACCCGTGAATCTTGATCCCTTTTTTTTTATTAAAAGTTTTTACGTATCACTTTGTGTGAATGATGTAGCCCTCGAACCAAAAAAAAAAGTTATTCCAATCCATATACAAATCCTTAAGTAGCACAGAACTCAAGTTTTGGCTGGTCTAGTGGTGAGAGAATATGCAAAGTATGCTCTCATCTTGGGTTCAAATTCAAATATAGAGAGAAGCATTCACCTAGGTTTTTCCGATCTTCTGGGAGATATATACGGGTCAAAAAATCCGGTGAACTTTCGGATTATAAAAAAAAAAGTTTTTAAATAGCAAAAAGGGTTTTTTTTCCCTTTTTTGGAGGAGATATTATTATTATATATGACATTAATGTTTCTGTATTATTACTAAAGTTTGCTCATATATAGAAAATACTTGGGAAATCTAGTTTAAATTAGGTGATATTACGATACTGGCCTCAGTTTTGTTTTGACGTTGAAATTAGCAATATTTAAACAGTATCCCTCGGGTCGTACTTTATGAAATAGAACCCTTTTAAAGAAAGTTTAACAAAAAAAAAACCTTTTAAAGAAAATTCACGGGAGGGTCGTTTTCGATCTGCCTCGTACGCAGAGAGAAGACACCCGTACTTGGAGACACGTACCGGGGACTGAGGAAGGAAATGAACTCCGTCTTCATGGAATCGGAAAAGGATCTCGACGAATTTGTTGGGGTTACGACGTCAACACCTCTTCCGACCGTTGCATCGCTGCGATCGATTCCTATTATCACCAGGTTCGTTCGCTTCCATCGTTATTTTCTTCTTCATTTGATGTATCTGGCGGAAGTTTATGATGTTTTCTGATGATTTCGATGTTTGTATGTTGTGGGTTTTCTAAATCTGTGGTCTTTAACTACTGGAGATCGGTTCTAGGGTTTGAGTTGAAGGGGGCTGACTGATCATGGGGTGGTCTTACGGTTTCTACTTATGATTCGTTATCGTTTGAAGGGTTTTTATCTTCATCGTTCATTTGATAAATTTGTCAAATTTGATTGAATTTTGGAGGTGTATTTAGTTAGTGATTTGAATTTTGATGATTGTTCAAGTTGCATCTCTTCAGATCGTGTTCCTTATCCTTAAAGTTACAATCTTTGCGTTTCGTTTCAGTCATTGGTGTCCTGGGTTTTGATAAAGTTTCGTGATTGATGAAGGTTCTTAGTTATGGGAGGGAGAAGAAGGTGATTCTGGAAGCTCCACTTCATGATCAAGATTGTGTTTTGGGTAACATTTTGGCTGCTCATTTCGTTACCTCTTCTGATCCTGCCAGAGCTAATGCCTATGCCCGAGCTGCAGCTTCCTGTCTCGTAAGCTGCTCTGTTTTCTCTTTGTTTGTTTATATATGCATCTGTACTATATATACATTCCATCAAAATAAAATGCTGATGTTGTAAGTCGAATACTTGTGATTCATGTTTCTTAATTTGGGTATTATTTCAACTTGGTCTCAGGAACAAGCAACACCATATGAGAAAGCTGTTTTCGAGGCTGTCAATTACTTGATCTCTGAGAATAGGGATGACCATGTGGCTCTTGAGTTGCACTCCCAGGTTAGGATGATAACTAGTTCCATTGATTTTTTTAAACCTTTTTTTTTGTCTATTCGAAATGATTTTTAAACTTTTCTTTTTTGCAGGTCTTGAAGAGGTTCCCGAAAGATCTGGTTTCTTATAAGAGAGTAGAGTGTTTGTGTTTCGATTTGGGTCGACCCGATCTCTCTTTGGCTCTTATCCAGCAGGTGCTTCAGTGTTCATCTAACGAAGAATCTTGTTTTGTGTTCGCTCTCTTTACTGATTGTAAATCGGGCAGGTCCTACCCGAGAATCAAGAAGCTGACTACATATACGGTATGCTTGCATTCCCATTGTTAGAGCTTGGTCGGACGGCTGAAGCTGAGTTAGCTGCCAGGAAAGGCTATGCCATTAACAAAGAGGACCCTTGGACACATCACTCTGTGAGTGTCTAACATCTTGTGTTCTTTTGTATCATCCGGGTCTTTTTGTTTGTAGATTTTCTCAAGGACATGTTACTTTTGGCAGCCCCTTTATCCACCAAGTGTTCTTTCGTTTTTGCAGTTATGTCATGTTCTTCAGTATGAATGTCGTTTCGATGAAGCAGTAGAATTCATGGAAGAATGCTCTGCTTCATGGGCTTCTTGTTCATCCTTAAGGTAAAAGATTTTTAACCAAATCTGGAAACTTTCACAAATTATCGAGCTGCTCTGATCTTCTGAAATCGCCAATAACGACTGAAAAGCTTTCAAATTGCTTAGGTACTCACATAACTGGTGGCACGTTGCTGTTTGTTATCTGGAAGGAGGGTCCCCTGCAAGTAAAGTGCATCAGATTTATGATCATATCTGGAAAGAATTAGAGAAACATGATGCTGTTGCTCCAGACGTTAGTTCCCTCGATCTTTCTCTGTTACTTTTCTCTTGCAACATGGGACTCTCATCACTTAAATCCAATCTCTCTTTTTTTTTTTGTTTTTTTCTTTTGCAAAAATTTTCAGGTTTATTTGGAGGCTCTTGGCTTGTTGTTGCGGTTGGACACACGAGATCAACTTGATGGCTTTGAAGACAGAGTGAAGATTGTTGCTGACTATATGACCGATCAGGTAAGCTATGCATTATGTGAGTTACATTATCACATATCATATAGAGTATGTATGGCTATGAAATCTTTTCGGGCACTTCATTGTTCAGGCGAATTGGTACGATGGATGGCACCTCGATATATTGACAATATGGGCGTTGACTAAGGTTGGAAACGCTTCGAAAGCACGTGAATTACTCGAGGGCCTGAAGTTACTGTTAGTACCAAATTTATTTTCTCACAGTTTAAGAAGATACTCTGGTCTTGTATCGGCTTATCGTTAAACCTCCTAACTTTATTCTCTGGCAGAACATCCAAGATGAACAAGAAGAAACAACAGCTGATGGAGAAAGCGATCCGGGTTTGTTCCGGTTGATGATCCTGTCTTAAATTTGACATCTTTTCAAGTTCTTTTCTGATATCGTTAACCGTATATCAGCTCGGGAATGCTGTGTATGAATACGCGAGTGGTAACTACATACAGGCTCTAGAGCTTCTCGGTCCAGATTTTGACGCTGTCCACTACAAGGTAAATTCTTGCCAGACGGATCGTATCTGTGTCCAGAAACTCAATGGATCAGAAGGAAAATGACATCATCGATTGGTTAATGAATAGGTCATCGGGGCATCGGGTTTACAGATGGAAGTCTTCAACGAGATTTCGTACAAGATGCTTCTACTTACCGGCCAATCCTCCATTGGTACAGAGCTCGATAACACTACATCCCAAGTGAATATAGATAGCTTCCGTGACGTTTCTTTTGATTGACGATCCTGACTTTGCAGCAATACAAGTGCTTGAGAAGAGGATAAAGGAGAGGAAAGGTGCTCCTTTCCTATGGCGTTTGCTGGTACACTCATCTGCATATATGCGTGTATATGTATATATGTATATGTATATGAAAGGGGTGTTGGTTTTAGGAGAAGAGTTACGCCATGGAAGGAAGAGGAGAAGCTGCAAGTGCTGCGGGGGAGAGAGCCAAGTCGTTGGAGGCTTCTTATTTCAAGTTTGCTTGAAAACTTTCTTCTGTTTCTTTCTGTCCTTCTTCTCTCTGGCTTTTATGGTCGGTCAATTTTTAAAGTTGACCTTTTTAAGACTCTCCAATGTGTTCTCGTGTCCTGTGTGTTAAAAGAAACAGTTTCTGAGCTTATAAAAATAAGGTCTTTTATGTAAAAATCTATTAATTATTATGGATTATAAATCTCTGTCTATAAATAGAGAGTTCTTAAAACTATACAGAAATGTTATACAGAAAAATGATGAGATATTGACAATTAGGTGGAATATATCTATTACCAGTATTTTATATTATTTATTTAAAGGGTTTATATTAGATAAATGTATTCGCATTGCAATTTTATTGAAGATTACGCGGTCAGAAAAATAAAAACGAAGACTTGACTTGATATATATATGTAACTATTTTAGCTTCAACTAGACCACAAAAAAATATACACGATATGTACTGTGTACAGCCTGGGCAGTGGGCACCATGACCGTGGACTTATTGGCCAAGACTTGGTAATAATAAACACGGCCTGGAATCTTAATTGACAAGTTCCGGTTACATGAAAAAAATAATAACAAATGACCTACATTTAAATTCTATATAACCATGACGGTCCAATATTATTCGCCGTTTTTGGCAGAGGACATGGAATTATTCGCCAAAGGCTCGGCCGTCAGATTACGGAACTGCCACGAAAAGTACCTCACCGCCGAAGATGACGAACGAGCCGTCCGTCAAAGCCGTAACGGACAGTCACGGCAATCGATATGGACGGTGGAGATGGTGCCACGTAAGCCAGACGTTATCCGACTCAAGAGCTGTTACGGCAAGTACTTGACGGCAAGCGAGACGCCGTTTCTGCTGGGCATGACAGGCGAGAGAGTTATACAAACGGCGCCGTTTCGCCAGGCGGAGTACGAGAGCGACTGGGAACCGATCAGGGACGATCTTCCGGTGAAGCTCATGTCGTGGAACGGCAAGTTCTTGCGCGCCAACGGCGGAATGCCGCCGTGGAAGAACTCCGTCACGCACGATCACGAGCCGTACACGTCAGCCACTAGGAAGTGGATCTTGTGGTTTGTGGAGATCGTCGAGAATCCTGAAACGGCGTCGTTTGCCGATCGTTTTTCTTCACCGGCGTCGAGTTTCGGTTCTTCCGTCTCCGCCGGGTCAATCCCCGGGTCACCCGCCGCGAAGAAGTTATCGAGCTTTGGCTCTTCCACCTCTGCCGGGTCGGATCCTGGGTCACCCGCATCAGTTTCGTCAAAACTTCCGTTCACTCCGTCATCGAACCCGGCGTCAAAACAGGTTCGCCATTTCCGACCGCATTATACATATTATGTGTACAAATAGGTGAATGCAAATGTAAAAATTGGGAATTTACGTTAACCGTTTGATTTGATCGAACAGACGAAGAATTCGTCCAGAATCGACGTAACAGCGATAGAGTTCTTCCACAACGCCAAATCGGTGCGATTACGCAGCGTCCACGACAAGTACCTCGTGGCAGAAGACGACGAAGAGACAGTGACTCAGGGACGAAACGGGTCATCGAGGAACGCCAAATGGGTCGTGGAACCCGTATCCGGATCCGGGAACGTGATCCGGCTCAAGAGCTGTCACGGCACCTACTTGACGGCGTCGCACGAGCGGTTTCTGATGGGAGCGACGGGTCGGAAGGTGGTGCAGTCGAGGAGCAGTGGCCGGTCCGGCGAATGGGAGCCCGTGAAAGAAGGGTCGAAGATGAAGCTGAAGAGCCGTAACGGCGGAGAGTATCTCAGAGCAAACGGTGGAATTCCTCCATGGCGGAACTCGGTCACGCACGATACGCCGAAGAGGACGGCTACTCAGGATTGGGTTGTATGGGAAGTCGACGTGGTGGAGATTACAGAGAGCTTCCATGGCGGCAGGAGAGAGAATACGAGTTAATGGGTGAGCTTCGTGCGTTCAGATTCAGACATCTCCCGTTCTGTTGAACTGAGTTTGGTTTGTTCTCATCCATCTTACATTGAGAATCGAGATCCTCTGAACTTTTGGCGCGAATCTGGTTTTCCTGAAACTACGGAAGATTGTCTTGAACCGACATTTCATTCCTAGATCTCTTTTGTTTTCCTATTTTAAGACATTCGGTTAATTGATATGAGGTGTGTAAAATGATTCAAATCTCTTGGATTTTATCTTTTGGATTGGTCATGAATGATGCAGAAACACAACTTTACAGGGCAGAATCTTCGTTGAATAATCAGTCCAAAAGCTACTAGTAACTTAATTTTTGTATATTTTTATTTTATCTAAGCTAACGAGTGATGCGATAATGACCTAAAGTTGTTTTTTTTTTTATAAAACGATAATGATCTAACCCCATATGGTGCATCGTTATGTTGATAGATCTCGACCGTTGTCATATCTAATCTTTTTTCTAGGGAAGCACATGTAAAAGTAGGCGCGTCAAACGAGCCGGACGACTCGTTCATGACAACTCAATTCGTTTTAAGCTCGCTCACTAGGTACACTATCAAACGGTTAAAAAAAACTTTGTTTTAATTCGACTCGCCAATTTTTTGAATTAAAAACTGATTCGCGATAAAAAAAAATATAATATTTTTTATTTCTATTATAAAAATATCAAATAAAATAATAATTTCATATAAAATTGAAATATCAAAATATTAAACTTAAAAAATAGATAAAAGAAATTATACATATATAATCAATAAAAAATCAAATATTAATTTTCTATAAAATATATAAAAAATAACTAAATATAGATATAATATTTTTTAAAAATACCTCAACTCACGAAACAAGTTACAGTTTGAAGTTAAACGAGATACAAATTTTAAAAACTCTGATTTAGTTCATTCTTTTTTAAGCGAAATTGTTTTGACACTATTGTATAAAAGTCGCTTGTGTATAACTGCAATCTAATCATAAGTTTGATGTCTTTACAAGTAGATGCAACCGAATTCATAACTTGAAAACAAATAGTTGTATACAAGCAAGTTTAAAAATATTTGCCACGAGTGTGGTTGGCTCAACTGGTAAGTGGGTATGCGCAAAGAGTGCTCTACTCAGGTTTGAACTCTATGCTTGGCAAATCACATATTATCAAAATTCACAGTCTGACGAATTAGTTCAACCGAATTACGATTTTTAAAATTTTTTGACTCAATTCGCTCGTTTCTAAGCGAACGGCGAATCAGCTAGCTAAACTCGTTTTAACAATAATCTTATATAAAATTCGTTTGTATATAACTATTTGTTTTTAAGTTATGAATTCAGTTACCTCAAATTGTAAAGACATCAAACTTGAGATTAGATAAACAGTTGACAATTCTATTAATACTGTGTGTATAGATTGAAAGTCTGCTATTTATATCTTCAATTTTTAATATGAAGTTTATATTACACGGAATAAAACACGAAAACTATGATAAAGACCATAGCTTTAGATGCCCATAGGCCACGCTAGCAGCCGAATGGATCATCACTAGGCAATCAACTATCCCAAAATCAAAATCTGACATACATACATACATACATACATACATACATACATACATACATACATACATACATACATACATACATACATACATACATACATACATACATACATACATACATACATACATCTTCCTTTTATCCGTAACTATATATACACGAATGAATTGCGTGTATATGGGATTTTAATGTGTAGTTCGGCGAAAGGATGAGCTCTAGAAGTCTACGTATTCAAAATTCAATGGTATTGACTTTTTTATTTATTGAACAAAGACCATTTCTAACACGAGCAAAGCCTACGCGCCCCGCACCACACCTGACTCGATTTTCTCATCATCCTAGATTTGTATTGCAGTTAATCCTTTTTTTTTATAATCTAAAAAATTCACGGAATATTTGGACAAATTATATTTTCTAATAAATCAAAAAATTTAAATGAATAACCTTTTCAAAAATTGAAAACTCGAATTTAGATTGAAAAATAGATTTGTTCACATAGTTACCAATTGAATCAACAAATCTTGTCTTATAACGGCTAATTATTGATATATAAATATGCAATCTTATTCTTGTTATGCTTTTTCTTAATCTTTTGAATACGATCGTTTTTTCAAAACAAAATCAGAAGAAATTTTGTTGGATTACGTAAAGCTGAGACCTTCACCGGTCCAAAACTGAATTACGGCTAAATGTTTTTACGTTGGGCCGCTCACCGTCACGCGCTCTCCGCGCGTGAGGTGAATGGGTAACCAAGTGGAACCTTCTTAACAAAGTTATTATAAAGAAGAGTAGATTATTATATTTTGTTCTTGTCCCTGGATCTTTCTTTCCAACTTTCACACATTATTTATTATTCATCTAATATATTTTTTTTCTCTTTCTATGGGGGAAATTTCCAAATAATTGCAAGATGAGAAAGTCCCTCCGAATATTAACTTCCAAATTCGCCTTTTCATTTCCCATTATACAATACAACCTAAAAACCCATCTCTCTCTTCCTCCAAAAGAAAACCTTAAATCTTGTCCCCTTTTGGTTGTCTAAAGATTTTAATTTTTGTACTAATTCCGAGCTTAAATCATGGAGCTTTTCATCAAAGGTGACGGCGTTAAGTTACGGAGCCATCTGGACAAGTACCTGGCAGCTGACGACGATCGTGAAACGGTACGACAGAGCCGTAACGGGGACTCACGGCGAGCCGTTTGGACGGTGGAGACCGTCGCCGAGAAGCCGAATCTAATACGACTGAGGAGCTGCCACGGAACGTACTTAACGGCGAGCAACAAGCCGTTTCTGTTGGGGATGACGGGAGAGAAGGTGGTCCAAACGGCGTCGTCTAACAAGCCGATGGACTGGCAGACTCAGTGGGAGCCGGTTCGAGACGGGTTTCAGGTGAAGATGAAATCGTGGTGCGGTAAGTGGCTGAGGGCTAACGGAGGATCGCCGCCGTGGAGAAACTCCGTTACCCACGACGAGCCTCACACGTCAAAGACCAAGGACTGGATCCTCTGGGACCTTATCGTCGTTGACGGCGATCCTGAAACGATGTCGTTTGGAGGCGAGAGCGTTTGTTCTTCTCCGGTTTCATCTCACCGTGACGGGTCGGATCTCGGGTCACCCTCTTCCGTCATGTCCATGAAGAGTTTCGGTCGCCTTTCCTTCGGTTTGCCCCTTTCTCCGAGATGGACCCCAAAACCGGTAAGTTTGTCTACGTCTTAATTACTTAAATTACGTCCCAAAAAAAAGATTCATCCTCTTTTTTTCAATTAATTTTCTGAAATTATTTATAACATTAGTTGTAAATTAACTTGTTGAATAGTGTTTTTCCGCATTTAAATTAATTAGTAGTTGGCATGCATATAGTGAACTAGAAGATGGGAAGCATGTATATATATATATATTTATTTAGGTACATCCATATTTCAATTCTTGTTTATTTTTCGAATTTATTCAATGTTTTTACATGCATATACGCCATGAATTAAAAATCATGATATTCACGTTGATTAGAGAAAAAAAAAAGGAAAAAGAAAATTAGATAATGTTCTGTATATTGTCTACCCCCACCGGCCCTTCTCCACTAACACAGCCAAAGGGACGATTAATCATCGACTCACCAACTTCAGAGCACTACAATAGAATATTTCATTGTTTTTATATTATGCATCATTAAATTAAATACATTCTCGGTCTATAGTTTAAATCATGTGATTCACTTTATTACTAAGAAACCCTTTTATAGCAAGTTGTCCTCCGAGTCACATGGCTGATAAAATGTTTGGCACTGTCGATGATATTATAATAAATGTGTATTTATTAGGACAGTTGCAACATGTTACATGTCCAGTTACCACATTGTCAATGGACCGAAACACAAAAGAACAAATGCCTCTTAGTCTGTGTTATTTTACATCATGAATATATTGGTAGATATTCAAACCATAGGGTGTATATTAATATAAGCTCAAATATATGATATAGTTACCAGAAAATGTTGTAAAACGTGACACGCGAGGAAAAAGTGGGATAAAAAGTTCGATGGTGGTTGTGATTTGATTTCTTCGTCACAGCCAATACCCTAAAGGGGGAGAGTCCCGCACTCGTGGATTTTCTCTTTGTTTATCCTTGCGGGCAAGGCATATACATAATAATATTCCACATTTCTTCATGTATATTCAATTTTGTTTTAGGTAAGTTCATGTATATTCTCTTTCTATAAAAAAAAAAAAAACCATAAACTTTATTGCATGTTTGAGATATCATATTTTTTTTAAATAATTACATACAAAGATTAATATGCTGACGTGGAAATTAAGACGCGGTCAACTTTGTCGACATTTCGCAACCTAATTCTGAGTCACATGGGTCATTAAATTATTACGCGTCCACGTCAGCCGCGTGCCGTTGTTGACGCTTGAGACTAGTAGATAAGATGATCATAAATACACGACATCTCACTTCTGTATTGTATTGTAATTGCAGAAGACGAGCTCGAACCTTGGGGAAGTTCCGGCCATGGAGTTTTTCCAGAAAGCTAAAGCCGTTCGGATGCGTAGCGTCCACGACAAGTATCTGACGGCCGACGAGGACGAGGAGACGGTGGCTCAGGACAGGAACGGCTCGTCCAAGAACGCCCGTTGGATCGTGGAGCCAGTCCGCGATTCTTTCCACGTCATCCGGCTCAAGAGCTGCCACGGCAAGTACCTAACGGCCTCGAACGAGCGGGTCTTGCTCGGCGCCACCGGCCGTAAGGTGGTGCAGTCGAAGCCCAGCCGTCTCGACTCGTCCGTCGAGTGGGAGCCACTGAAGGAAGGCTCCAAGATTAAGCTCAGGACAAGGTACGGAAAATACCTCCGGGCCAACGGTGGAGTTCCGCCTTGGAGAAACTCCGTCACGCACGACATTCCTCATAGAACGTCGACTCAGGACTGGATCTTGTGGGAGGTTGATGTCGTCGAGATTCTTGTCGATCCCCACCCAACTCCGGCTTCTCCGCCGCCGAAACAACCGTCGCCTCCGTCCCGGCGGTCGAGTTCTCCGATCTCGAGATCGCACTCTGGTTCGAGCACACCTTCCTCTGTCTCAGCCAAATCCGACCACTTGTTCGGACAAGAGGTGAGTACTATACCAGCCCATTTACGAACATACCCTTGTCGTCGTAGTTTCTAGCTGAACCATATTTTAACATATCATCTCATGGTTTGACCAGTCAAACGAGTCGCAGCCAAACTCGCCGCCGAAATTGGAAGGGAGGACCATATATTACCACATAGCCGACGAGTCGGGACACGTGGAGGACGAATCGACCGTTGGATACGCTCTGACCTTCAAAGGGAATAGCGTGGAGCAACTGACACAGGCGCTGAGGGAAGCAACCAGCATGGATGACGTCATTGTGTGTACACGCAGTCCCTTAAACGGCAAGCTGTTTCCTCTCCGTCTGCAACTTCCCCCCACCACCACAATGCATGTCGTTCTTGTCCCCTCGACCTCGAGACGTGAGTATCCAGCTACACTGGCACAATGCGTGCCGTTTTCCTCGCTTCTTTTAACCTCTTGATAATGTTTTTCCTTACTGAGTTTCTTTTTCCTCGTTTGATTTCATCAGTGGCAAGAGAATTGGCTTCGGGGCTTAGGCTATAAGATCAACTTCTCAATACGATGGAGTAATCGGACCTTATACTTATATATGATTGGTTAGTTTTGGAAATATATTTATTTATTTGTTTTTATATATTCCACGTTAATGCCCATGGCGCTTAAAATTTAGAGAATGTTCTGTTCTTGAAAAAAAAATGTATGGGATTTTTTTGTTGTAAATAATATATTTGTTTGTAAAAAAAAAACCCATGAGATTTTTAGTATTCTTATGAGATTCTGATTATGATTGTAATATAAAGTATTGTCTAAGCACTGAAGTGAATTCAGATACAAATAAGAGACCTACATCTATCTATATGGCATATATTTTTCTTGATTCGGTTTAGTCATGTGACATGTCATATGATTTTTATTTTGAAAAAAAAACTCATTGTTAAGTCCAAACCCAATTAAATATACATATTTTAAAGATAAAAAAAGCCCATCTCTAAATAAAAAATCTTTGGAATAAAATATAGGAAAACTATATACGGGAAAAAACAAAAAGGGGAACAAGAGATTGGACCGGGGCAACTTCTGTTTTACACTCAATGTGCTACATCAACTTCCACTCATACCCTCCTTTTATTAAAAAAAAATTCCAACATCTAATATACCCTCTTCTATAAATAATGACCAAAACACCCTTTTATATTTAATTTTTTATTAAAAAAATATCCCCAAAATTAGGGTAAACGGGGTCTCTCTCCTCTCTCTTTCCGGTGTCTCTCTCCTGTCTCTCTCTCCCTCATCGACATTGAGCTCTCTCTCTCCTACACTTTCTCTCTCATCTCAATCTTGCGATTTTTTCTCCAAAATCAGTAGAAATCAAAGCAAAATCAGTGGAAAATTGTTGAAGAAGTTGAAAACAGGTAAGAAAATGTGAAAATCTCATTTGTTTCTACCCACATTGATGGTTGTCGGTGTTTATATGATGAACAGTGATGCTTCTTCTACCTTTTTTCTTCTAATTGTTGACAGTTTTGAAGTTTTATCTTTTGTAGTATAGTATAGTCATAGATCCGGGTCGGATCTGGATTTTAGATGTTGTTTCTAGAGTATTACTAAACACAAATGTCGGGTCACAGTAGAGAGGAGTTGGTGAGATGGCCACACGGTCACACGATCACAAAGTGACATGCTCATTAACATAACGGTTGGCATATGTTTCAAGAATGATATGGTACTATTTTCACATGGTCACATGGTACTATGTTTACATGGTCACATGGTACTATATTACAATAGTCACATGAGACTATGGTCACATGGTACTATGTTTACATGGTCACATGGTACTATAATAACATGGTCACATGAGACTATGTTCACATGGTCACATGGTACCATGGCCGCATGGTCACATGGTCACATGATTCATAATAGTAGGATTGGTAATAATGGT